AAATAGAAAGCTAGTGTTTGTTTGTTTTTTGTTGTTTTTTTTAAATAAAAAAATTAAAAGAAGATAAATATAGATAAAGTAGAATTAAAATAGAATAGAAAGTGTTAGAGTTAGAGGGTCAAATAAAAATATCAATAGATATCTGTTGGATTGATCATCTGATTGTCTCTCTGTAGGAGTATATCAGGCATGTTGATCCGGTCAGTCATCTGGGTCTGGGTTCAGACAGTGTGGAGGGTTATCGTATTGGAGATGTGATCCGGTCCAGCGGAGCAGTCACACCTGAACTCCTGCCCTGTGGATACCTTGTGGGAGAGAATGACACAATCAACATCTCGCTGAAAGGTTCACACAATGAAAAGTTTTATTCGTTCTCATTATTTGTCAAGATTGTTTCGTATTTCAGTTGTTGTTAACACTGTGAGTGTTTCTCTCATTTCAGATGTGAACTCTCAGTCTGAGGATTCTCTGGTCTTCGAGACGCTGATCCCCAAACCCATGCTCCAGCGTTACGCATCTTTGCTCCAGGAACATCGCAGGATCATCCTTTCAGGCCCCAGCGGCACTGGAAAATCCTACCTGGCCCACAGACTGGCAGAGCATCTGGTGCTGCGAGAGGGCAGACTGCCCAATGAGAGCAACATTGTCACCTTCAACGTCGACCATAAATCCAGCAAGGTGAGAATCGGCCTCTTTTCCTTGGTTTGTGAGCCGAGTTGTTTGTATCATTTCTACATCATTTAAACTCTAGTTTATAGAACTTCTATGTCAAAAGAGCAAGGAAAATTCATTTGTGACCCTGGACAACAAAACCATAAGAGTCCATTTTCTGAAATTGAGATTTATACATGATCTGAAAGCTGAATTAAATAAGCTTTAAAAAAGCTTAAGAAAAAAAATCAAAATATTGAGAAAATCGCCTTTAAAGTGTACAAAATATCTTCATGGAACATGATCTTTCCTTAATATCCTAATGATTTTTGGCATAAAAGAAATATTTTGACCCAAACAATGTAATGTTGGCTATTGCTACAAATATACCCGTGCAACTTTTATCTCCAAAACGTCAAATAAAAAGGACTAGCTAACAAGATATGACCCGAAGTCTAGAAATCCTTGTACATTAGAATGTAAAGATGTGTATATTTATCTGCTAGGAGTTGCGTCAGTACTTAGCTAATATAGTGGAGCAGTGCAGCGCTGACGGACAGGACACTGAAGCCCCTCTGGTGCTCATTCTGGACAACCTTCATCACATCAGCTCACTGGGAGAGATCTTCAACGGCTTGCTTAGCTGCAAATACCAGCGCTGGTGAGTCTGCCTTTTATATTTTTTATTAAATACATGTTCAAATGTTTGAAGTCAGTGTGATTTTTTTTTCTGAAAAAAATTAACACTTTTATTTAGTAGAGACATTAAAGTGACAGCAAAGACATTTATAATGTTACAAAAGATTTCTATTTCAAATAAAAGCTGTTCCACAAAAAAAAAACTTTAGGCAGCACAACTGTTTTCCACATTGATGTGAGTGTTAAGAGGCCTTTTTTGCTTTTGTTAATTGTATAATAAATAAAAAGAAAAGGAATAGATAGAATAGAAAAAGAATAGAGAAGCTAATGTTAGTTTTTTTTTTTAAGAAAACAAGCAGTTAGTAAATGAATAGAGTGCAAGTCTAAAAGGGGCAAGTTTTTTTTAAAGAATAGAATTAGAATAGAGATTGCTAGATTTAGAGGGTCAAATAAAAATGGAAGAGATGTGTTTTAGCCGATTCTTGAAGATGGCTAAGGATTTTAAAAGTAATTTTTAAAATTACTTTTTAAAATGTATTAGATTATTTTCAATTGTAATAATATTTCAAAATAGTATTGTTTTTACTGTATTTTGTGGCCACAAATGACTTACAAAAGCATTTAAAAATCTTACCAACCCCAACCTTTTGAACAAAGTGTATATTCAAGTACATAAAAAAAAACGTGTTTATGTGCACACTATAATGTCACCCTACAGTCAGTGTAACAACAGCATACTAATGAACACAGCAATAATAAGCGTGTGTACAATTAATGGTTTTATTTTGTCTCTCTGTATTTGCAGCCCGTATATAATCGGCACGATGAGTCAGGCGACATCTTCTGCTCCAAACCTGCAACTTCATCATAACTTCAGGTACAAAACTGCTCTCTATTTTGTCTTGAGTTAGCCCTAAAACAATGCCTTGGCCTTAATGGGGAAACTGCCATAGAGCGACCTCTAGATGGCGTCATTGTGCTGTTGTTGACAGCAATGAAAAGATTCTAATTGTCCTTTACATCTCAGTGAACAGTGTGTGCGCGCGCATGTATGCATATATATATAGATATATATATATTTATATTATATATATATTTATAAGTTCCCTTTTTGTTTATGTATTTCTATTAAATGCTAACATGAGCTACGTATGATTTCCATCCCAGATGGGTGCTGTGTGCTAATCACATGGAGCCGGTAAAAGGTTTCCTGGGCCGGTTTCTGAGGAGGAAGCTGATTGAGACAGAGATCGGCAGCCGAACACGTAACCCGGAGCTGGTGAAGATCATAGACTGGATTCCTCAGGTCTGGCACCACCTCAACCGCTTCCTGGAGGCCCACAGCTCCTCTGATGTGACCATCGGTACGGAGATAACCCGCCATACTGAAACCAAATATTAACAGACCATTCCCAGTGTCACTAATTCACTCTGCAAGAGTTGAATGTGAGTCTCATGTCTCTTCATCCAGGTCCACGTTTGTTCCTGTCATGTCCGATGGATGTGGACGGTTCTCGCGTTTGGTTCACTGACCTGTGGAACTACTCCATCATCCCCTACATGCTGGAGGCTGTGAGAGAAGGCTTACAGGTAACATTTGCCCTCTTTTATAGTAAAATCTACCTTTTTCACAGTCACTGATGTCTTTTTTTTTTAATTAAATTTCATTGTAAAAGTGACCTCGCACAAAGTAGTTCTTTCTTGCCTCTCCATATCTCTCAATTTATAGAAACAAACAATTTATCGATTGTCTGTTTGTTTGCGTTTGTTTAGCTGTACGGTCACAGAGCTGCATGGGAGGATCCTGCGCTGTGGGTTCTGGAGACTTTTCCATGGGCAGCTTCTCATCAGCACCCTGATTGGCCAGCTTTGCTGCAGCTCCGCCCAGAGGACGTGGGCTTTGATGGATACTCCGCCTCCAGAGAGGGCCTTAACAAACAGAGTACGCAGAGTGACAGTGATGCCGACCCACTGGTGAGAAACACAAACAGATAAAAGCATTAGTTTAGTGTAGCTTAGTGTTTACTCTTACAGTTTATGATTTTCTGACAAACATTTCAAAAGTTACCAGTAAAAATAGCCATTTTTCATACCTCATGACCTGTAGGTGACGATGTCCCCAAAGTTGGCAGGTATCCTCAGATCTTGGTGCTTGTGAGGCGTAGCATGTTTGGTTTTGCTAGTTTTTTGCTACTATTGAGATACAGCTTCTCATCTAATTTTGGGTCAGCATCAGCAGTTTGTGTCATCAAAACTTTTGGGCAGAGGCAAAAAAAAAAATCCAGGCATTTACAGGCAGTTTTGTGTGGATCGGTCCATCAATCATTTGAACCAATTGTGAGAACTCAATCAATTTTGAAGGAATAGTGAAAAAATAAAATACAGTGATTTTCAAAATGGCACCTACTGTAACGAGTGCAGTCTAAGATATTGAAAATGATCAACATTATTTACAAAATTTGCAAAAAAACGCAAAACTCGCAAAAAAAAAGTTGGGGACCTAATAAAGAAGAAAATTGGTCTTGGTAGAGTTGCTCAATAAAATCATAATATAAACAATGGCTGAAAATAATTCACACATAATTTATGTACATTTTTGTAAGATGAATACTCAGTAGCTTATTGGTGATGTAGAAAAAAGTTATATTCTACCATGCCATGTTGAGATCATATGACTTTATGAATGTAACTTAGTACTTTAGTACTTAATTGAACTGAAAATAATAAAAATAATAATAATTTCAGTATATGAAAATGTAATATTTGATTTTCTTTCAGTTTTATTATTATTATTGTTTTATTTCACTTATTTAAAATAAAATTAATTCACAAAAAATTAACAAATGTTGACATTTCTGGAATTTGGAGACTTTGTATGCAACAGAAATGTGACAAGAAGTTGTAAAAAAATTGTAAAGAGCAAAATTTATATATACATTTTACATAAAAGTATATTTATACATGTGCGTTGTATAAATGCATATTTATATATAAAAAAAAACGTCTCAGGTTACGTATGTAACCATGGTTCCCTGAGTAGGGAACGAGACACTGCGTCCTCTAGGGGTCGCTATGGGGAACGCCTCGTCGTGACCCGTGTCTGAAGCATACATTGAAAAAACACACACAACATGTTGGCCGGCGACAGCCATGACGTCACTACCGGTGCGACTATAGTATAAATAGATGCCGGGAGAACACATCATCCTCTTCTTCTTCCTCGAAAAGGGAGACAAACGAGAGCGGAGCTTTTTTCCTTGGAAAAACGCTCGCAGTGCAAGCCGATTGCCCCTTCGGAGACATCGCGTGCGTGCTCTTTGCCCAAACAAACAATGCATAGATCGTGTGTGTCATCGGGTGTCAAATAGCGATGACACGGATGCACACATCTTCTAAACGCTTTGCTAGTGCTCGCCATAACGACAGGAATATAGATCGCTCTTACCACGGAAATGCACGCTTCAAACAAAACAGTCAGTGAAGATGAAGAAGAGGATGATGTGTTCTCTCGGCGCCTATTTATACTATAGTATATGTAGTATATACTATACCGGTAGTGACGTCATGGCTGTCGCCGGCCAACGTGTTGTTGGTGTTTTTTCAATGTATGCTTCAGACACGGGTCACGACGAGGCGTTCCCCATAGCGACCCCTAGAGGACGCAGTTCGAAGTTCCCATGAAAGGGAACTTTCAATTCTTAATGCACCTCTACAGGTCAAAAATACAGGAAAACAAATGAGTATGTTCTAGATTTAGTCATTTCTTTATACTTCAAATATGACTTATTTTTAAAGGTGTTATGTGATCAGGCCTGACTGTTGTTTTTGTGTGTTGTGTGAACAGATGAACATGCTCCTGCGTCTGAAAGAGGCAGCCAGCTGCTCCAGCCCGCAGAGCTACGACAGCGACTCCAATAGTAACAGTCACCATGATGACATCCTGGACTCTTCGCTGGAGTCCACGTTATGATCCAGCCTGATCCGTGAACTCTAATCAAGTCATTATATCACATCTACGGGTGCTGGTAACCCACTTCATATATAAATATATATAGAGAGAGAAATATATATGCGCCAAAACTCAACGGTACTTCAGTGTGATTTTTATTTTTATTTTACAACAACGAAATCAGAAGAAAGTGCTTTGTCCCCATTTTTACCTCAAAAGTAGAAGTGCGGGCACATTAGCTAAATTTTATGGACAAAAAGGGTTCATTGTCTGTCGTCAATAATGTAGCGATGTGTGAAACAGAGCTCACACAAGTCACTTTCAAACCAAACGGTGAATCAGAGTGGCAAACCTGCATCTGCTGCGAAATCTGCGTAGATCAATTTTCCGCCATCACACAAAATTCCCGATTACATGGATTTCACATACAAAAATTTGCCAAACTTCGGTAAATGTGACCGCACCTTAACTGTTGGAAATACTTTCGCACCCAATGCAATGCTTGTTTGTCTTACCCTCTACTGGTGAAACGGAGGAATTACATCCTAAACCCGAGACCAACATCTTGGCGTCTTCACTCAAAAGAACATTGACTTTCCCTGTAATGATGGACTTGTTCATGACTTTACAAAACCAGCTTGATTGGATGCTAACCATCGTTTCATGTTTTACATGATAAGGATACGGATGAAATAGCATGGTGCTACACTTATGATTTTGGATTTATTTATTGTGATGATTGGAAAAAATACCTCGTTTGCAATCTGGGACGTGCTTTTGTTTGCCTTTCTGCATTTTTTTTTTGTTACCACCCGTTCCTTAACTGCTGACCGCATGTTCCAGTGTTCTACTGTAGCACAAAGCCTCTCTATCTATTTTTTACACTAGACCACGCTCTGTTTTTGGTGCTGAATAGAATTTGGTGCCTTACTCCATTTTGTAAAGAAAAAACGGCACTATGTTTTATACTTCTGAAAAATGCTGATTTTATTAACTACAGGGCTCTACGCTAGTCCTTTGTATTTGCCTAAAATAAACAGCCTCACACTCATCATATCATATCAGAGGAGCAAAATGTGTGGTTTAGAAAAGAGGAAGTGGATAAAGGGAGCGGCAGGGCGACTGTAACCTCCATCTGTTTTGAAATTCACATTTTTTTAAAGCAAAGTTGCTACACAGTTAAAGGGACATTTTACTTTCAAACATGTATGAGAAAAATTATGCTTTTTTATATGTGAAATATCACTACTGGCACAGGTCATCTTGAGGGGTTCAGCTGTAAGGCTTTGCTTGGTGCTTTAAGACCGTCTCAACACATCTTGGCTAAAGCACAGTGAGAAATTGTTCATAATTTGGTGTATGAGTATACCTCATTGACCATTTTGGCCTTTTTCGTGTACATATCTTGCATTCAATGTGAAAGAGTAAGAAACATCCACATAGTCATTGGATTAATAATATACTGTATTTGCTGCTTTGTAATGCAAGGATGCTTCTGGAGGATTTGTACATAAGATTTTATCTTTGATTCTCTATAAGAAATATCATTTGGATGGACAGTGAGTTTCCTTGCATGGGAAAGCATAATATATGGGACTCTTCAGTGGTTTCACCTTCTTTACGTTGTGAAATGCTGTTGGTATGGCGCTGCAGGGTTTTAGTTACACCGTTGCTTCCATTTCACTCCAGTGTATGATTCCTGTCAGTCATCGATCCTATGCAACATCATTGTGGATTTCACTGGAAGCCAAATATCGTAGCTCTGTAATGCTGTCAGCACTGCCAATACGTTGTGTGTACACTGTGTATATAATTTGTGAATAATTTTAGGATATGTGCCTAATTTTCTTTGATTATGATGATGATGAAGTCATTTTAAGCACAAATGCTGTATGTGATTGTTGTAACTGAAATGGGAGGGCTATAACTGAATGGATTTCATGTCACTGAATGTGTACATCGTTTCTGGCTGTAATATATTAATGTAAATATTTGACTACCCTGCAGGCTGCATTTTGATGAATAATCTTTTTATAGCCATTTATAACAGTGCTTGGAAATATGGAATATTTTGTGTACAGTGTCTTTTTCATCTTAACAGTCCCATGGATGGTCTGTGAAACACAGGCAGCCCATAAAGATTTACTGATCACCTTACAGTTTTAAATTATTTGTAATTCAATAAACCTAATAATTATTTATTAATTGTTTATTAGTTTGTTTTCATGACTTTATGCAAGCAGAATGATGACAAACATTATACAAAAAAATATATTCACAGCATTTTTATATCAACATGTTCCATTCAATCATAACAATAACTAAAAAAAAAGAGTATTACAATAAAAAAAACTTACAATTAATTAATGATTTTAACTATTTAAAACACAACAACCAATTTTAGTTTTTAGTCTAATGTATGCATATTGACTAAAATATGATTCTTATGCTAATGTTTCAACCCTAAGCATGTACAATGAAATAAACATTTAGTAAGTGATATTTTGTTAAATTCAAGGATTGATAGACAATATTTACAGAACATCTGTCATTCTAAATTTTCTTAAGATACTTACAATAAAACAAATAAACAACACAGACTAGTGTACATGAATTAGCTATACTTGCAAGAGTTTATATGAGCTTTGGGATCATTCTAATAAAGACTAGAAATAATGTTAATGTTTTTTCATGTTAAACAATTTCAATATGGTGAAATAAAACATACCTAAAATGAAGCTTTAAGCACTAACCAAATCACAGCACAATTAAAATAAATCTAAGGATCTAGAAAGCAGGTTAATGTACTGTATCTCAAAGTGTGAAACGGATAGAAGATGCAGCTTCAATTATGGTTGGTTTGACCTCTAATGGTGATGGTTGAGGTGATGAAGTCAAAATCTCCTGGATAGCTTCAATTCCAACTTGAGCAAATGCATAGTTAAATCTTTGCTTAAAGCAGCACTATGTAACGTTTCTGTGTTCAAAATTTGTGAAATGTATATAATGAGCGAGTACATAATGAATTCATCTTCCAAACCGCCTTTTTGTCTTATCCCGAATCACTACGGTACACTTATAATAAGTACTTATATTTGGACTATTGTAGCCTGGTCGGGTCGTCACCGCTGCGGAGTAACACATACATGCGTGAATCGCCATAGACATAAACTTAGAGAAGTAGCTCCGGTTGGAATGTTCTTCCGCGGGATGCGTACAGTTCTGTTTATTAACCGCTAGAGCGCCAAAAGTTACATAGTGCTGCTTTAATCATTTTCTTTGTTTTGCATATTTAGCAATTCCATACCAGCGATATGTATCTGTTGGGTTTCTTTCCAGACCATTTTCACCTAGAAAGAACTGCCAAAGACAGTTCTGCGCATATGGAAATCTGATAGGATCTATTAAATACTGTCTGTGTTTAAGTGTGTTTACCCAATAGGGTTCATCAACAAACATGAGGTAATTCTGAGGAGCACGTTAAAATGGTTTGCGAAAACACTTGGCAAACCAATTTTAAAAAATACAAATACAACTTTTTTCCCTCTTCTTTCAGAAAGGCAGACTGTGTTATCGATTTTGTCATCACACGTCATCCTTACTCCTTTTGATTTTGGGTCAAAGCGATCAATTTGATCACACCTGGGTAAATACCAGATAATTTCTTTACCCCTGAGATGCATTTTCTGAATTGTGAGTTTCAGATCATTTAAGCAAGAATCATCATAGCTTTCGAAGCTTTCGACATTCAGAAACCACCCTTCGAAGTTTAATCGGTGGGCAATGTCCACTAGTTTCTGTAGGTTCTCCAGTTTTGCCAGTTCTTCCGTGTCTTTCTTATCTCCCCCATGGGCCAAAGTTGGCAAAAAAAACTGTGCCAAATATGGCAACCCCATTCCTGTGTGCCTGATCAATCCAGGCCGGATCCGGGGCAAGCACTGCTCCTTCACGACGTGACCCACCAAAGAAGACAAACTCTTTGATATACTGCCAGTAATCCAATCTTATTCTCGTTTCCTCTGTAATGACTTGAGGAACTCTTTCACAGGTTGGCCTCACTCTGAATATTAAGGTGAAGTCTTGGGTGTGTGCTTTCATGTTTTTCTCTTGACCACTCATAAGTAAAACCATCAATTTGAAGGGGTTCTGTTGAAGGACGCAAGTAATCATGAGAAAAAATCTGACCCTCAGAATAATCTTTCAGGTCTGAGAAGTCATTAACCGCATTCTTTGGTTTGTTTAAAAACCAAGTGTATGTTTTAAATGTAGGATCGTTTTCTTTGTCCTTGTGTTTTTTTTTAGAGCAGGTAGCTCAACATAAACCACTTTTAGTGCCTCTTGATCTGTGACTTGATGTTTGTTCTGTACCAGTAGGTAGTTTAAATCGCGCACGAAATGAGGCCAGTAGAGTTGAGCCACAATGAAGTATGGGTGAGCAGGAGGTTTGCCATCTCTGCTCCAGCTATATGCATATGTCCCCTGGAATTCACTAGTACAGTTCCCATTTATTTTGGCATCTTGAAATTGTTTCAGAAGGGCAGGATCTTCGCTGGCTCTGAAATCACCTTTAAATCCATGAACGAGACCCCCGATTGTAGTAGTCTTTTTTAATTGTACGGCGTAATAGTCCTTTCCACTGTATTTACCCTGTGCACGAAAAATGTACCAGCAATAACAGTTTTGCCCCATTCTCTCCCACTCTGGAAATATGTAATCATCACTCTTGTTTCTAAATATTTCATTTCTTTCTAAATAGTTAAACCTGAAGCAATCAACTTCAGACAGCAAGTGTACATCCCATGAAAAAATATACCCGTCTGGTTTTGGAGGCTCTGTGCCTTGATTAATACTATCCATCACTTTTTTAGCTCTTTCAAGGCCGATTATATCTATGCTTTCTTCTGTGAAATACCGGTTTACACAACGGATGATCTCTGTGAGCTCACGGCTGTCACACTTTATGAACTCAGCTGATGTACGTTGCTCCCCTTTTAGATATTGAATGGCATTGCGGAAAGCTTGGAGAGCCTCTTCATCAGAAACATTGTAATGTTTGTTTCGAAACATGAAAGTCTGAGCTGCAAGTAGGACCACATCATGGGATAATGCTGAGATGTCACAATCATCGCGTGATTCTGCAGCTTTCCGATAATCTAGATTTCCTTTTTTAGCTTCGAGCAATTCATTTACAATTCGATGTGGAGATGTATAAACAGACTCATAATAGTTCCAATTTTTCAATGTGGGATGAGATTTCTTGTAGTCAATAACAGCCTGGATTTGTTCCTTTGCAGTACCACGTAAGCTCAAACCATGAGCAAGTGAATTCTCATCAGAGAATGCTAATGATGGACGAAGTGTTAGATTCAGCATGTCAGAAACACATTTTTTGAGCTCTGAAACCCGGATTTGAGCTTCTGATAATTTCACGTTTGGGTCTAACTACTTCATGACAATAGCCAAGTCCAAGAAGGACACTGGCTCATTGTTTTCTGCCATTCTGGATATCTTCTTAAATGCTTATATACCTATAAATAAAAAATGCATTTGCATTAAGTTACATAGAAGAAGACAGGATGCTTTCAAGGTAAACATACTACACTCTAAAAAATGCTGGGTTAAATACAACCCAGTGCTGGGTAAAATAGGGACAAACCCAGCAATTGGGTTGTTTTGACCCAGTGGTTGGGGTACTACCCAGAAGGTTACTTTACATTATGGTCCCATTAGTAAACTTTAGTTAATAATGCATTAACTAACAATGAGCAACACTTATTATTCTTTTTTTAAGCATTAATACACTCTAAAAAATGCTGGGTTAAATACAACCCAGTGCTGGGTAAAATAGGGACAAACCCAGCAATTGGGTTGTTTTGACCCAGTGGTTGGGTTACTACCCAGAAGGTTGGGTTAAACATTTAACCCAACCGCTGGGTCAAAACAGCCCAATTGCTGGGTTTGTCCCTATTTTACCCAGCGCTGGGTTATATTTAACCCAGCATTTTTTAGAGTGTAGAATTGTATATTAAAATCCACTTTTGTTAGGTTAAAACTTTGCATATGATACTAGCATCTGCTTGTGCAGTTGGGTTTGCGTCATTTTTCAGCCTGTGGTAGACAAAATGTGAGTAGTTACTTACTGTCGCAATCAGGAAAGTGCACAGGGGGTGGATACCGTGGCCCAAGCTACTGCTCTTTTTACCTTTATCAGGTCCCTCTCTGGGGAAAAGAAGTACATTTCCATTCATTCCTGTAGCAGATGCTTTTATGCAGCAACTTATAAGAGGAAGCTATCCTTTTTAAAATGAGCAAATATATTACAATGCTATTTAAATCTACATGTCAGCTTGGAAAGAATAATAATAAGAATTATTATTATTATACATTAACAGTATAAAGTTTAATCCTGTACATATTTTTACACACTAAATTGTACAGTTACTTGCTAAACAAAGAGCAAGGAATCATCAATAAATAAGTACTGAAATAGTATATTAATATTGCTTACCAAAAAGTTGTCTTCTTTTATGTTGAAATATAAAGGAAACATTGGCTTGCTTTTAGCCTAAAAATAGACAGTAGCTTATCTGTTCCAGCGAACCACACCACAAAAACCACAAGACATCGTCTTCCCCTATTTAACTTATTCAGTAGAGTGGGAGGGGAAAGGGTGTGGGTGTGCAGGTTTTTTCTCAATATCAACGTATACGGTTTAGTGTGTTTTAAATGTGCTAAAGGAACATATTCATCTGTTAGAGGCCGAAGCAGAAATGTAAGGTTACATATCAGAAATTCAAATCTGTCGACATCAGGAGGAATGGGTAGCAGTTATAAAAACAGACATGTAGGGTCAAGATTTTGAGGACTGCTTGTTTGTGAACAGGTGCTTTTGGATTAGTCAAAAAGATGCAGTCTGATAAAGAGACATTTCTCAGCGAACCACACCACAAAAACCACAAGACATCGTCTTCCCCTATTTAACTTATTAGAGTGGGAGGGGAAAGGGTGTGGGTGTGCAGGTTTTTTCTCAATATCAACGTATACGGTTTAGTGTGTTTTAAATGTGCTAAAGGAACATATTCATCTGTTAGAGGCCGAAGCAGAAATGTAAGGTTACATATCAGAAATTCAAATCTGTCGACATCAGGAGGAATGTGTAGCAGTTATAAAAACAGACATGTAGGGTCAAGATTTTGAGGACTGCTTGTTTGTGAACAGGT